TTTGAAGGGATCTATAAGGGGTCCTTTAAAAGGATCTATAGGGTTTAGGGATCTAAGGACGCATATATTGAGGCTTTTGGGCCCAAATACCATACTATGTAAGGCTTTTGGGCTGGTTTGATCCCTAGGTTAGTTGTCCAGTATCGTAGGGGAACTGACGGTTAATTGTTGGGCCCATTGCGGGATTACAATGCCCAAGACAATGTTGAAGGTTACATATGCAACTAAACAGAGGAACGCAAAGCATGACCGAGCCAAGGGTGCGCATAGTCATGCACATTGCCGTAGAGGCGGGCAGAAGCGATATGGTGAACCTGGCTCTTGGTTGCTGAGTTCATAGGCCCCAAGAAGGTTCAGCTTTTTCCGGGACACGTATAAAGTGTAAAACGTTCAGCTACTCAGGTTTAGAGTTAGCACTTTATTTCCTCAGGGTTCCAGGATTTAGGGCCCGAAATTTAGCTGACAGTTTAATGGTTCGAGGCCCCAACACCATAATAGGTAAACCCTAAACTCGGAACCCGTAAACCCCAAAACTCTACACCCTGAACCCTGAATCCTAAAATCCCCTAGAGAATGGCAGGTTACGACCCCTGAAACTTTCGGGTATAACCCTCAACAATGGATTGTCTCGGGATTCTTGCTGGTGTCTTCGGGCCCTCATGGTGTCAAAGGGCAGGCGGGCGTAGGGCTTAGTCTTTGAGGGTGTAGAGCTAGGGTTTAGTATTTAGCATTGAATGGAACTAGGGGGTGAACCTCGTTGGTGTTGCATTGAACTAGGTCAAAAAAGGCAAAGTCAACACAGCTGCAACACTCATTCACTAATGTAGACTCTTCAATAAAACACCCCTTTGCTTTGAGAGCAACAGTTTTGGGTGTCCCTGCTATCACTGACTTAGAAGAGAGGCTTAACTGATCATCGTAACCCTATGACTTTCCTGGTCCTAACCCCGAACCCTCAAAATGCCAATGGTTTGACTTGATCTAGGTTGACATATACTGGCCGGCATATCAACCTCCCCTATGATGGTAACAAAGGGGCCCTAATACCTAGAACACGTCTCGGGGTGCATTCTACCATGAGCATATGCGGGCTATCAATGGCGTATGATTCGCAGTTACTTCGACCCCTACTTTGATATGAGCTACTAGGGTTAAAAATACCCCACAGAGGTAAAAGGTTACTTACTCTACTGCTAGGCTGAACACTAAACTCCTCTATGGAACCCTTATAGGTCCCTCTAAAGGAACCCTTATATGTAGATCCCTTTAAATCCAGAGCACCTCGTCGTAAAGGCCTTGGCAAGTCCATGTCCAGGCGAGAAGCAGCGATTTCCACATCTCTATCGCCGGTTTAGGTTTGGGGTTTTGAGCTAAGGGTTCATTGCTTGGGGTTTAGGGGTCAGGGGTTTAGGGTTTTATGTTTCGGGTCTTTGGGCTAAAGGTTCAGGGTTTAGGGTTTAGGGGTCAGGAGTTTAGAGTTACGGGCTTTTGGGTTTGGGGTTTCAGGGCTTTGGGTTTAGGGTGGTGCACTTAGAACTGGGTTATGCATACAGTTCTGTTCGGACTATTTTACAATTACGTAGGGACTATAAGGGGATGTCATTGCATGAAGGTCCATGTACACTACTATGAGTATGGAATGAGGTCCCCCAAAACCATGATTAGAATGGTCTTGCGGGCCTGTTTCCACAATGCCGGTATCTTTGGAATGTCTCACATTACTGCGTATTCAGACCTGTAAACCAGCACGCTCAAACCTGACGGTTTCGGCCCTACGCTCTAAACCCCCAAAAGCTGAGCGCATAAACCTGAACCGTCAGCCACGTAGCTGCTGGGGCTTAGGGTTTAGGGCCGTTAGGGCTTTAGGGTTGTAGGGCTTTGGGGGGTGTAGCGCTCCAGTCATTTTCAAGCTCCAGGGATTTTAGGGTTTGGGGCTTAGGGTTTAGGACTTTTGGGTTTTCGGTGTAGCGTTCTAGGGTTTAGGGTTTCGAGCACCCGATGGGTACCATGTTCGCAGCTGGGAGCCAATCCAGGCACGATCTAAGGTGAGGAGAGGGGGCTTAGCTGTTTAATATCCTAAGCTAGCCTTTGGAGTTAGAAAGGGCTTTAATACCCCCAAAAGGTTAACGGTTACCTACTCGTCTATTAAGAGGAGCTGGTGGCTCATGACTTGACAGGAAAAAGCAAAGGATTTAGGGTTTGGGACCATTGCTTGCTGAGAATCCCCTCGCTGTATTCGCCTTCCGTCCTAAACCCACAAAAAACCGCCTACACCCGAAACTTGTGTTGGGGGCAACCTGTAGGGTTTAAGGTTTGGCTGTAGGCGGTGGCTCTGAACAAAGAAATGTATACGGGTTTGATATTGTTTAGGCTTGTACAAGGCTTTCCCAGGGATTCATAGGGCTTACCCTGGCCTTATGCCACAACCTACTTGTGCGAGGTCCACACCAAGTTGTTTCCGGTAACCCTACCTCCCTAAACCCCTAAAGCCAAACTCCAGGTCTTAAGCTCTCAACCATAATCTCTGAACGCCGAAGAAACCTCTTTCCAAGACTCTCTAAGCCTAGCGGAAGCCCGGCGTCCATCTTTTTTGTCTGCCGGCTGGGCCGCGCTTTGCCTGCGCCCTTGTGGGCCTCGGCTTTGGGCTTACAGTTTGGGTTCCTTGAGGTTTCTTGATCTTTAAAGGTTATAGGCAGTTAGGGTTCCTTTCAGGGATCTATGGGGTTTAGGGGTTTAGGGGTTCAGGGTTTAGGGTTTAAGGGATAGGCGTTCAGGGTTTAGGGCTTAGGGTTTAGCAGCTTCTGGGCGGTCTTTTGTCGTGGGGTTTGCTGATTCGCTCGGACTCCGCACTCACAAGAACGCTCATGCCCAAGCTGCAACAACTTTCTTCTCGAAGCGGTAAGCCGGTAAGCAACAATGACAAAAATCCTTTCAGGGGCCTAAATAATTGCCTATACTATTTTGGGGCTTCCTTACTATAGATATAGTATAGTGGGCCCCAATCAGAAATTCCTGGTCCCCAAGCCCTGTCTGATAAACTCTTGATGCAAAGCCTCCGACTCTCCAGAGGCTCTAGAAGGGGGGGTCAAGGCTACTTAGAAGCCCAGGGGACTTAGTAAGTCGGCTACAAGTCTTTAAGGGGTATTTAAAGGGATCTATAGGGTTCCTTAAAGGGATCCAGGGGGTTTAGGGTTTAGGGTCTACTTGGAGGGGCAGGGGACTTAGTAAGCCGGTTATGTGTAGGGTTATAATTGGGGGGACTCCATCTAGGGTACTCCTAACTCTACTTAGAACCTACCTACTAAGTGCCCTGGACCTTTACGTAATCGAGGAACCTGGGTAAGAAACCTTGGGCCTTTCAACAGAGTTCTTTGCATGGCTCCTAATACTTCGGTTGATGATACAAATCCTGCATTACCTTAAGGACCCTAAACTATGGGATTTACGGTATATTCCTTATTCTGGGTCATGCAGGAGTTGCATCATCTAGTTTGGTGTTGTAGAACCAAGGTTTCGTATTCAGGTTCCGGCATGAAACGGAAAACCTCCTAAACCCCTAAATCCCAGCCCAAAAGCGCCTAGGCCCCACACTCCACAGGCCGCGCGAGCCACCGGCAGAGGACGGAATTAAACGATTGCAGCGAGTCGGACACGCCTCGGATGACCCAGGACTCAAGTTTTGGGGTTAGGGGCGGTTTACCATTTTTTTGTAGGGTTCCTATAAATCTCCACAGTAGGGTATAAAATAAGAACCTACAAGAAAGTAGGTCTGGGTAGGTTGAAGTAGGGTGTGGGATGTAGGGTGTGGGGCTTCTCCTTTTCGTCTTCGGGGTTTAGGATTTGGATTCTTGGGTTAAGTGCTCTGGGTTTAGGTTTGGGCATATCTTGTGCTACATTGGAATCAATTTCAGCATACTGATGCATGAAAACCGTTTCTTAAGTCTTTGGAAACTTAAAAAGAAAATCTTATATATAACCTAAGCCGTAAACACTAAATTGATAGATCCCTTACAGGAGCCGTTAAAGATCCCCTTAAAGGAGAGATTTTGGGTTTGGCGCTTTGCTGGGTTTGGCGGTTCTTTTTTTTTTTTTTAAAGTGCAATGGGGCCTTTTTCTGCAGAGGTCCAGCCGTTTTCACGGCTTACACTGTAAATGATCACATACGGATCAATCAAGCCTCACACCCACTATTCACCCTCACTTCAGCAGTCCAGCCAGCTCACTCAACAAACTCGAGATCACGCCGACGCGACGACACAGACGGGTGAACATCACTATCTCCTCGGGCATCATCCATCCCATCACGTACAACAGCTGGGGTCAAGCTCGAGGATCCAGAGGGCCCAGACATCAAGGAAGTTCCCGACGCCGCAACTGACGGAGCACTTAGAACAGCATGACCTGCATCACGTACTTCTGGTGGGCGGTGAAGGGCAGGAGCGCGGGGGCCGGAGGGCAAGAAACCATCACGACTGCGGCTCCTTTCAGCTCGACGAGAACGACGACGACGAGCTCCATGAGGTACAGCACCCACCAACTCAGCCAGGCCACCATGTGGAACAGCTCGAGGCGGTGGACGAGGTCGACGTAGACGGTTTGGCGGTTCAGAGCTTAGGGTTAAGGGTTGAGGATTTAGGGCTCAATGTTTCATTAGGTTTTAGGGTTTAGACCAGCACAACCACCGCTTTTGATACGTCTTCCAAGAGTGACTGAAACAAACATCGGCCTATAGGGCACCTTTTTTGACATCTGCAGTGCTCAGAACATACTTCACAGTTAATCGAAAAGACAGACAAACGACAAAGAAATACACATGTTGTTTTACACCAAGCACACCTTGCTTAGTTTCAGGAAAATAAGCAACTGCTAATGTGAGTCTGCAACCAGGAAGATCGTGCGTAGAAGTCCAGATGAGTTGCTACTGCAGCCAATCCCCCCTCACCAAAAAGCAAATCAGAAATTCTAAACCCAAACAACACATAAAGCACAGGGGCCAGGACTCACCGCCTTCTGCCAATCGTCTGCGCATCTGCCAAATCCTCGTCGGCGCCTGGGCTTCTCGTTTCGGGCAGAGGCGTTCAGCCTGGGCTTTCTTATCAGGGTTGTATGAGGTTCGGCAAGGGTTCTGAAGGGTACCATAAGGCAAGAAAAGGGCTCAAAAGCCTTGAAGTACGAGTCCTTAGAGCCTAAGGGTAATTATCACCTTGCTTATCACAAGACTTGCTACGTTCCATGAGGCTTTAAGTATAGGGCTTAGGGTCTTTGTAGTCTGGGTCTTAGGATTTCAGGCTCGGGGCTGTGGGTTTCAGGTTTCGGGTTCAGGCCAAAGGCATCAAGTCAGGGTTTTAGTGTGTTACTTGGAGGATCGGGGACTTAGTAAGTAAGGGTATACGTACCATGATTGGGGTTATAAGTAATTATGAGTATAGTTACCTTATTTATAAACCTAGTTACTAAGTCTCATGATCCTTTAAGTAGGGTTTTGGGGGTTTGGGGGTTTAGGGTTTAGGGGCTGGGGCTCAGACCATAGTCCGTGATATGCTAAAGCCTCTTCCTCGATACAGAGCTTTGGGGCGTGTATCTGTTATATGGACCAGTATGTGCCAAAAGTTTGTAGCCTATCACCGTTTCGGTAGGGTGTAAAGGGTGTAAGGGTTTGGCCCGGGGTTTAAGGTTCAAAGTTCAAGTGTTTCCACCATCCATGTATGAACCCCCCCCCGCCAACCGTTCGTAGACTCTACCATAAACCCCAGCCCAGACCCTTACATTAAACCCTGCGTTAGACCCAAAAAAAACTCCAAAACCATTCTACCCTAAACCGTATAGAGCGCTTAAAGGGCGGAAGTGGGAGGCAACGTGGAACAGGATAAAGTTTAAAGGGGTCTAGGGTTTAAGCCGTAAACCTTAAACTTTGAAGCTAAACCCTGCGGTTGATGATGTAAATCCTGCATTGCCCATAATAAGGAATATACCAGAATTCCCATAGTTTAATAGTAGGACCCGAAACCCATATAGATTCCTGTAAAGAAACCCCTTATAGGTACCCTTACAGATGATAAACAAACAAACTGCGACCCTCACCCGTAAATCCTAAACACTGCTTGCCCTTGCACACATGGTCTCCACTTGTTGCCTTTTCTTCCGCCTGCACTTCGGGTTCTTGCGGTCTCTTTGAGCCTCGAAGCAGTGCCAGAATGCGACGTCGGATGTAGCTGCCATTTACGGTTTAGGACCGGAGGCTTTAGGGTTTAGGGTTTGGGGTCTAGGCTTTAGGGTTTAGGGTTTAGGGCCAAAAGCGGTGTTGACCGAAACCGTCCCTTAAACTAGCACCAACAAGGCTGCGGCAGTACGGTTGATCATGTAAACCCTGTATTACCTTAGGAACATAGACTATGGGAAGTGTGGTATATACCTTATTATTGGTAGTGCAGGATATAGATCATCAACCGTAGCACCATCACGGTGTTCACACTGGCACCGAAGGGGCTGGTGGCTGGGCCCCATCAACGGAAATCACCGGCGGCTTACACCAGAGCCAAGAGCAACCTACGAATGAAACGGGTGCCCTTTTTGGTTTAAAGGGGCTTATAAGGAAACCTGAACCCTAAAAAAGGGAATAAGGGCCTACTCTAGGTCCTCGTACAATTACAAGGAGTGACAACCACTGCTATACACTCCGACGCCGCACCAGGCAAATGGCTGGTTTTCAGCCCAACTTCATTCCCTCAAAAATGATCGCCAGCTCACTGGCGGAGGCTTCAACAGATGACAAAGCACTGATGCGCTTCTGCCTCTGTTGTCAAACCTCTGCGTGTCATTCATTCACTGCCCAGTCTCCTCAACCACAAACAGGTTTAGCACACAGGCCAGCTTCCACGCACCGGAGTGAAACGATGTGAGCCATCCCGGAATGAATCGATGTGAACCATCCGGTCACCGGGAAGGTTGCCTTATTAGAATGGAATGGCTTCCAGGTGTGTTACACTATGACTATTGTTCTAAAAGAGAGCCCTCAGTAATGGGCTCCCTTGTGGTAACTTAAAATGAGTTCCTTGACAAGAAACCAGTCAGATAATCCTGAACCCTGAACAAACCCGGAACCCTGCACCCTACATCCCTAAACCTCAAACCTTAAACCGCCTAAACCCAATAGAACCCTCACAGGAACCCTGAAAAGTACTCCCAAATCCCGGTAGTATTGCAGACCAAGGGTCGAGACCCGCAGCTGCTATCATGCCAACTCTTGCTCAGCTATGCAGGGCTTCTCGTTGCTCACCTCCTTGCTCAGCTCGTTGCTTACCTCTTGGCTCACCTGCTTCAGGGTTTACGGTGTAGGGTTTAGGGTTGAGGGTCTACGGTGTGGGGATCTCGGCGTAGAGTTCAGGGTTTAGGGTTGTAAGAGTCCCTAAACCCTAAACCCTAAACCCTAAACCCTAAACCCTAAACCCTAAACCCTAAACCCTAAACCCTATAAGAGGGTTTAGGGTTGAGGGTCTACGGCATAGGGCTTTCGGTTTAGAGTTCAGGGTTAAGGGTTCGGGGTCGAAAGGTTGACGGTTCAGGGTTTCAGGGTCTTAGGGTTTAGGATTTAGGGTTTAGACTTTAGGGTTTAGGGTTTAGGATTTAGGGTTTAGACTTTAGGGTTTAGGGTTTAAGATTTAGGGTTTAGGGTTTAGGATTTAGGGTTTAGACTTTAGGGTTTAAGATTTAGGGTTTGGGGTTTAGGGTGTCTCGCCGCGCAGCGGCAGTATTTTCTATGTAGGATGGCGCCCCAACACTCCCAGGGGTGTGGGGGGGGGCGGCATATCTATGTCTAGCGTTCGAATGCGATTCCACCACCAAACAATTACACATTGGTTGCTCCCCTGTGAGAATACACAGGCTACCACCCAAAATATTGCCTTTTAGGGTGTTGGGCTGACGCCCTCAATTCCCACCTGCCCCTGGTCCGTCTGCTGCACCTACACACGCCACAAAACAGAGGGTCAGGGGTGGCCAGGGCCAGGGAAAGCAGGAAGGGAGAAAAGACGCCAGATCTCCCCCGAGAACCCGCCAGGAGCCCCCCGGTCCCTGGAATCTGCCAGCTGGGGGCCCCCTGGGCCGGCTTCTGGGGCCTTTTCTGAAGGGAGCCAAATGGAAACGACCACCAAGCATTTGGTCGTCGGGTTTAGGGTATTCTAATCTCGGGAATTCCCTCTGCGAATGGGCGCCACGCAAGGGGTCTAATGGCTTGGCTCAGCCCTAGGGGCTGAATTCGACCATTCTCCAAGGCTCCACCCATCGTCCATCCAGAGTTGGTGTCGATCACTGCCGGATTTCCTTCTGGGTCCAGGCACCCTAAGAAAAAAGGGTGGGTACGGCCTAAGCAAGCCTGGGTGGGAGTTTAGGATTTAGGGTTTAGGGTTTTAGGATTTAGGGTTTAAGATTTAGGGTTTAGGGTTTAGGGCTTAGGGTTTAGGGTTTAGGGTTTAGGATTCAGGGCTTCAGAGTTTAGGGGTTTAGGATGATTTAGGATTTAGGATTTAGGGTTTAGGGTTTAGGGTTACCTTAAGCCGGAATAACCTACCTTTTTAAAGACTTATATAAGGAAATCTTAATAAGGAGCCCTAAAAAGGTAGGTTATTCCGGCTTAAGGTAGGGCTTAGTTTCAGGGCTTTAGGGGAGTCCGCCTGGTTCCTCGCTCGCGCTCTCTTGAGTCTGACAAGCCAGATCACCACAAGCAAGAGTCCCAAAGCCAAAGCCAGCCTACTTAGAGGATCATGGGACTTAGTAAGGGTTCGATTCCTGAAAGGGATCTACGGGGTTTAGAGTTTAGGGTTTAGAGGATCATGGGACTTAGTAAGTAGGTTATAATTGGGGTTATATGTCCCCTAAGTGGGGTTATCCTGATTATAACCTACTTATAACCTTATTTACTAAGTCCCAAAGCCAAAGCCAGCCTAATGCAGGGGGCCTGATAATTAGAATATGCTTCCTGTTCCGGGGTCCCTTAAAGGGTTCTATATGGGCTTCTATGAAGTTTTACTGTAGGGGCCTTCTGAGTAGGAGTCATAGCCTACTTGAAGGCTCATGGGACTTAGTAAGTAAGGTTATAAGTAGGATAACCCCACTTCGGCGACTTATAACCCCAATTATAACCTACTTACTAAGTCCCATGATCCTCTAAGTAATGCGGGGGCCTTGATAAGTTGAATAGGGTGTTGGTCCCCATTGTACTATACTATAACTATAACAAGGAACTTTGGGAATATATTGATAACTATTCAGGCCCCTTTATGAGGTTCCGCAAGTCGCCACTGGGGCCCTTTTTCGTGCCCTTCGGTGTTAGTAAGGGAACCCAAAAAGAAAGAGAGCAAAAAGGTACCACTCAGGAACCTAGCAGCAGCGAAGCACCAACAGCGATCAGCACCGGTCCTAAGCGAGCGCCCTCCTCTTCCGCTGGGTCGAAAATCTTGAGGCAAAGCTGGTCGCTGCCAATCTCGCACTTATACCTAGGTTGGCCCCTTAAAGCCTCTGAAAAATAATATTCGTAAATAGTATCCTTCTAAGACCACAAAGGAAAAATGTAAAATGTCCCAAAGGCCTGCCTAGATACATTATTCGGAGATGCTCGGCTCCAGCATTGCCTTACTTCCCCAATAAGCCAGGGAAATAAAAGGTTAAACTTTCACATTACTTCTAGATGACATAAACCCAAAAAGTTTAAAGGTTGGGTATTGGAGAACTAAGTTGCCCAACCAGCATGGCGTTTCATCGCCAACGCGAAACGTGCCAGGTCTTGGAGGTTCGTCGCGGCAGTTCGACACTCCGAGGGCGCCGGTCTCGTGGCTAAAAAACCGCTCTTTCCGAGAGAGGTGGCTTGTACCTTCACCTTCGTAGAGAAATCGGTATCTGTAGACGTCCCAGCAGTCGTAGCCCTTATTGCCTACCTCCACGTTGCGGATCACTTCAATGATGTTGCAAGTGCCCACAAGGCGAGTGAAGTCCTGGGACGGATCCACGAGTCTGCCAGCTCCAGAAGGTATTGAAACCTGGGCCCCGCTTAAGGGTTTAATTAGGGTTCCTTCATCAATTACAGTGGGTCCCTTTTAGGGTTCCTTAATTATAGGGATCTTCTATAAGGGTACTACAGGGTTTAGGTAGGGTTTAGGTATGTAATGTTCTACAGAAAACCCCATAGAGTTGGAAACCGGATTAAGGCCAGATAGTGCTGGTATTCCCTGCTCTTTACTCTTAAGGGTTGAGGCTATTGGGCTTCTGACTTCTGGGCTTCTACTGTAAGGGCTATGGGTTTAGGGTTTGGGGCTGTTCAGTAACCCACTGGGAAAAGTAAATACGGTTAATGATGTAAATCCTGCATGACCCATGAATAAGGAATATATGGGAATTATGGTATATTGCTTAGTATGGTTAATGCAGGATTTATATCATCAACTGTAGTGTTCTGGGTAGTGAAAACAAAAAACAAGAACCCAGAAACCAACAAAGCACAAAAGGTTGCCACTGAGCAACCTAGGAGCGCAGGCTCCGACGAAGGATACGAAACTGCAGATAATGCAAACCCTGGTGGCCAAACTGACCAAATCACATTTCGGGTTCGACTGGGGAGACGACATCAGGCACAACTCGCCGACCGGTCCAGCGTGCGCTGAATTCCTTGAAACTTGGGGCCTTGATCCAAATCAAGCTCCATCTGCGGATGAGATCTGCCATGCTTGCTAGGGTCGGGGTTTAGGGTTTAGGGTTTAGGGTTTAGGGTTTAGGGTTTAGGGACTTATAGTACGCGTAGGTCGCAAGTGGACTTGTAAGTACCCTAAGCAGGTTCCTACTACTATGATACTGCAAAAGCCTTTGAAATGACTACCTACCCTTTAGGTATGACCCCTCTTGGATGGCATAACCCTTAAAGCCTTAAACCCGCATGGGTGTGCCTTAGGAAGCTCGTTTTTTGGGCCCTTGCGGGAACCTGTCAGACTACTCTTACAGAGGACGTCTAGACTGGACAAACTCTGTTTAAGACCTTGCAGAACAAGAACCTGAACAGAACCCTCAGATTGAAGCGTACTAGTAAGGGATATCCCATATAAAGCCCCCCCATAATAAAGCCCAAGAAGGTAGGGATATCTCTATACAATGCTTATGCTTCTGTCCTTTTTGGGTCCCTAATATTAGGGGGGCCCTGGTCGAAACCCTAAACCAGAAACCCTAAACTTCGGAGAACCCTCCTTTTGAAGCGTAGTAGGGGGGCCCTGGTGCATCAGGGTGCTTGGCACTGGCTCGTCCACGATCTCCGTGGCAGCAGGCGAGTAGCGGTCCTTTACCGGCGGATTTTTGGATTTTGTGTCGGTGGCATCTTTAAGGTTAAAATACGTTTTAACGGATCTACCAGGGTTTAGGGTTTTGGGTTTATTCAGGTTCTACCGGGGATATGGGAGAATTTTCTGCCTTTGGAAACGTTCGAACGGAGCCAAAATAGTGGGCCCAGACTGCCCAGACTTGCTGCGTCGAAAAAACCCAAGATTAGTTGTGTCATAACAGGGGTTCTTGGGCTTATAGGGCTTTAACATAGGGGCCTTAATAACTAGAATGGGGTTTCGAGGCCCATTATGCCATAATCAGAAGAAGGAACCCGCACAAGAGTATGGGTATGTATTTTGGCATCCACTCGTCCACATCTGCATCTGCAACTCGCAGTGTAGCCGCAGGACGAGGACCTCCTCCTGGCCCAGGTCCAGCACGCTTCGGCGGAGGGCCCGCAGGTTCCGGCACTCCTGGCTTCTTAGGTCGGCATGCAGCTGCAGGATGCTCTGTTGGAAACTTCGGTGGAGGGCCCGGAGGGGGACCTGCAGGAGTGGCTCCGGAGGCAGTGCTGGAGCAAGTCCCACCGACGCTGGAACTTCGTGCACCACTTGCAAGCTCTGCGTCTGCCTCCGAAGGCTTTGCCTTCTTGCCGGTGCTCCCGCCATTGTCGGCAGTAGGCAGAGCATTCCTGGTGGCTTGCCAGGCCTTCTGACCCCTATCGTAGGGTCTTAAGGCTCAGGGTTTAGGGAGTAGAGTTTCTCGGCATAAGTACGGTTGATGATATAAATCCTGCATGACCCATAGCAAGGAATATACCATAATTCCCACATATTCTTTATTATGGGTAATGCAGTAATGCAGGATTTATATCATCAACCGTAGGGTTTAAGAGTCTTGGCCTCAGGGTTTCACGGTCTGGGGATCATGGGTTCGCGCTGGGCACCGGGACTTGGGCCGACCTGCTTGCAATACAAAAAATATGGTGAATCTTATGCAGCGCTAGTACGAAACTTTGCAAGCACCCATAAATCCCGATGCCACGGTAAAAACCCAAAATCACCTGAACAATCCATCACGATCCCTGCCAAAGCTTTCATTAACACTTGATTGCAAACCTCAAACCCTAAGCCCCAAAGCTAAAATGAACAAACGAAGCCTAAACTGCCCCAAAACACTAAACCCTACAAACCCCAAAAGCCCAAAAACGCAACCCTTTCAGAGGCGATGGCACCTTGAGGAGCGCCTGGCGCGCCGTGCTGGTAAAGAAAAGCAGCTTCGCCCAGAAAGCCATGGCCTAGAAAGGATCGTTTACTTATATACCTTTGGTTAGTAGGGAATGGAAGAATGGTAGTAATAATAGTAGCTATAATTGTACCCCATTCCTCCAATCCCTACTAACCGAAGGTAAGTTATAGGATTATTAAGGCCCCTAAATTTAAGTACCCTTTTGGAACCCTTTTAGATCCCTTATAGTAACCCTTATCGATCCCTTATAGTACCCTTATAGATCCCTTATAGTACCGTTTAAGGTTCAGGGTTTAGGGCCTTAAGGGCTTTAAGGTTATTGAAGGCTTAGGGTTTCAGGGTTTAGGGTTTATAGTAGCTCATGCCCTTGAAGTAAAGTATAGGGAACCCTAGCGCGAATCGCCCTTAATCTATGTTCCAACTTTCTGGGGTTCACTATAAGGTTTAAGGTTCAGGGTTTAGGGCTTAAGGGTTTTAAGGTTGTTAAAGGTGTAGGGATTTAGTGTTTAGGGCTTTAGGGTTTAGGGTTTTAGGGATTTGGGTTGTAGGGTTTAGGGCTTTAATTAGGGTTTAAGGCCGTTTTCCCACCGCAGGTGCTTTCAGAATCCCTATTGGGGAAGGCGGTCGTCCAAGGTGTAGGGTGTAGGGATTTTGGGGTTTGGTGGTTGGGGGGGGGCGGGGGTGGGGGGGCTATAAGGGTTCCTTTCAAGGGTTCCTTTAAGGGTTACCTTCGGTTTCATTGTCAAAGGGGCTTTATGTGAGCTCTTCTAGCAGGTTAGGCTTTTGGGCTTTGAGCTTGGGGTTTAAGGGCCCAGGGCTGCTTGGATACAGGAGGCTTTTTCGCAGGAAGCCATGGCGTTAAAGGTTCGCTGAGAAAGGTTTTTGTAAGGGTTTAAGGGCTTCTACACGAGTTTCATACTATGCTTGAACTTTCTAGGATTGTGACTTGAAGTTTCCTGAACCATAGGGTATCTGAGTTTTCAGAGCCTAGCACGTAGGTGAACTTGCCGTCGCAAGGTACTTCGGTGCTCCGTTGTCCTGTAAACCCAGACCCAAGCCTAAACCCAAAAATACGAGTCTTAATTAGTGATTAGAATGACTCTTGGTCTATACTCTATATACTACATTTCGATAGAGAATATAAAAGGATATTTTTGCTGGTCGTGCCACCATAGATTACTCCCCAAGTCCGTCTCCCGAGAGCCCAGCACCAATCAAGGAAGACGCCATCGATCTTCCCCTATAGCTTTGGATACTCCTGCAAACGCAAAACACCCCCTAAACCCTAAACAGTGTTTCAGAACTTCGAAAATGCCGTGCAAATCCAATGAAAGAGAAAGGGCTCAATCTTCCAGAAAGACCCAAGACTCCGAAATGAACCGACGAGGAGCCACAGCCAACGCAACGGAACCCAGAAGGACGATGAACATAACAAGGCCCAGTGTGCCGATCGCCTTCAGGGGATGCCATTTGCTGATGAAGAGTAGTATTGGGGCCTTAGTAGTTAGAATAGGCTTCCTAAACAGGGTCCCTTAAAGGGTTTTATAAGGGCTTCTATGGTGTAGTGTAGGGGCGGCCCCTATAGTAAGGGTTTAATTTAAGGCTCGGGGGTTTAAGTGGGTTGAGGCTTTAAGGATTTAGGGCTTTGTGCGTTGGGGATTCCAGAGCCCTAAAACCCGAACCGTGGGTGTGGGAATTGTAGGGGTCATTCCGAAGAGCTCTTAAGGAATAAGGACTTGGGGTTGTTTTCCCAGAGTTTATGGCTTACCCTAAGGCTCCTGGACCCTCGTAGTGAAATCCCAAGCCTTAGCCCCCAAAGCCCAAACCCTTCCCCCAGAAAGCCCATGACCCCTTTGGACCCTTGGCCTTAGGGCTTAGGGATTCAAGGTTTTTTCGAGGTTGAGCGCTTTAGAGGTTTGGGCTTCTGCCCAAAAGCAAAGGATCCTAACATCCACCCTATTTAGGGTTTAGGGTCTAGGGTCTAGGGTTTAGGGTTGAATCGGATCCTGATTCCGTCCGTGCCTGCATGTGTAGGGTGAAGGTTTATCTCTTGCAGAATGCTGCATATTCACGAGCCACGATTTAGGACAACCGCAAGTTTACACTGCTGAGTTGTCCTTTAAGCTTTTTGAAAATTATTTGTTATTACGGTTCTCTACAACATAGTGGGGGAAACTCAAGAAGACTCCAAAGGACAACCCAGACTGAGGCTTGGGCGTAAACTCAATCAATAATTTGGGAGTTAGGATGAGGGGGGACCCTCGGGGATTTAGACCCTCTCAATGAGGCCCCGTTTAAGAGAACTAGAAGTAGGGTTCAGAAGGGATACCCTTTAAGGGGTCTCCCTAATAATACTACCTATGATTCCGAAACCCCGAAAACTTGTGACCCTGGACACCAAGGACCCCAGGCCCCACCACTAGGACCCACGGTTTAGGGTTTAGGGCTTAGGGTTTAGGGAGTAACGACACCCTAAACCCTATACCCTAAACCGAAAGAAACACCAAAGACCCCAGGCCCCACCACCAGGAATTCCCGAGTAACGGCACCTTACTTCCCCAGCATGCCAGGGAAATAAACGGCTGAACTTTCAGAATACTACTAAATTACATTAACCCGAAGAGCTTAAAGGTTGGGTATTGGAGAACTAAGACACCCTAAACCCTAAACCGAAAAAAATCCCTAAACAGTATCTGGGCTGTAAAAGAGGGTATTTGGAACAAAATCAGGTGACTGAGAAGCGAAAACATCGGCTTGGGCAGAGGATGGAATTAACCCAGGGATCCCAATATCCCTTGATTAAGGAATATACCTTCACCCATAATTTTAACACCCCTATAATTTAAGGTATATTCCTTAATTAAGGGATATTGGGATCTCTGAGTGGGTAGAGGCTGGAATGAAGGGTCTAGGCAGTTTAGGGTCTAGGCTCCAACGAATCAGCACGCAAAGCATACCATCGCACCAACCAAACTCCCTGAAACCCAAACCCCTAAACCCTCGAACCCAAACCCCATATTCCCTCAAATCCAGACCCCAAAACCCCCAAACCCTTAACCCTAAACCCCTAAACTAAACCCCCAAACCTTCAAACCCTAAACCCAGATCCTCAACCCCCTGAAACCCTTGAACTGAGACACTTGAACCCGAAATGGGAGCTTCAACCGAACAGGAGCTTGATGTAGATGGGTTTCAGGTTTAGCGTTTAGGGTTTAAGGTTTAGGGTTTAGGATTTAGGGTTTAAGGTTTAGGGTTTGAGGTTCAAGGTTTAGGCTCCTGTAAGTAAGTCTCTACGTGCGTATCTGTATATTAGATGTATACGCGTGCACATGTTTTGTATGTAAATGTATGAAAGAGATACACTTTATAAAAAACACTATGCCTTGGGCACTTCCCCCCCATACAGTAATCATAGGGCTACGGTTATAAAAGGTCCTAAGAAATCTACATTATGAACATTATCCAACTGTTACCGAGTGGGGGCCGTACCCAAACTATGTCGTCCGGTTGCCTTCCTTCCCCCAATAAGCCCGGGAAATAAAAGGTTAGACTTTCAGATTACGACTAACATATGGATGGTTGTCAAAATTAGGGTCCTTTTTTGGGTACCCTCAATATTAGGTGCCGTATTATAATAGGGACGCAAAAAGGGACACTAATTTTGACAACCACCCATATAAACCCACAAAGTTTCTAGGTTGGGTATTGGAGATCGAAGAGTATGGGCAAGCACGGGTTAAGTTAACTAACTATGCCAAAACAGAGTACAGCATAGTACCCAGATCTAAAGGCAGACCCGTAACGACCCTGCTTGCATTACTGATCAGTCGCTATTCGGGAAGAAATCCCATGCTGGATTATGTTCTGCTGCGGCTGCCTCAATCATTTCCATTGCTTGTGCGGCCGGAACCATGTCGCTACCCAGGATTTCTTTTTTTGGCAGTTGCGCGCTCTTCTAGGAGCGCAGTCAGGCGTCAGGCAGAACTCTGGCCAAAGCAGAACTCCGTCGACTTCGGCCCGGCGCAACTTGCGGTACCAGGGTTGCCAGACGGCCCTCAGGTGCACCCCGTCTGGATTCTGAAACGGCGACAGTTCGTACAACCAGCCCCTTGAGCGAGCCCGTCCGTTTGGCTCGTCGCAGCACTTCCTTCCAGGGAAGACGGACAAAGACGCGCAAACTCCTGGACGTCGCAATCACCTTGCGCAAAAAGTCCCAAAAGTCATTTGAGCTGAAGGAAAACCCGACTGGGGAATTCCACAGAGGATCAATCAAGACCAAAGAGCTCAGGCATCCCACGGACCGCGCACACCAAGCACACCGAGGTTATGCCAAGCAAGTTCAGGAGCATAAGAAGAAACATCAACTAACTTGACAGGACACTTAACTCCAAAAACACGCAGGTAAAAAATCTATCATCACCCCATGGGCGTACAAATGCAACAAAGCAATCAAGATCCTAAACCATTAAGCCCCTAAACCTTTAACCCCTGAACCCTCAACCCCTAAACCCCACAAACCCTTAAACCCGCACACCCTATTCCCCTAAACCCCTAAATCCCTAAACCCTAAACCCCTAAACCCTAAACCTCTTCATCATATATATTTAAACCCCTGGAGCCCCCACAACCCTAACCTCCCCAACCTGAACTCCCCTTGGGCTGCTACGGTTGATGATACAAATCATTACCCATAATACTTGGAGGATCATGGGACTGAGTAAGTAAGGTTATAAGTACCTTAAGTGGGGATATAAGTATAGTTACCCTAATTATAACCCCAGTTACTAAGTCCCATGATCCTTTAAGTAAGGCATAGACCATAATTCCCATAGTCTAGGGTGCTTAAGGTAATGCAGGATTTATACTATCAACCGTACCTCCTGGATCTTTCGCCACTGGTGCACTTGGACCTTCTGATCGCCGGGGTTTGGGCTGCCAAAGACCATGCCTGCGAGATTGCTTTAGGGTTAGGAGTTTAGGGTATAAGGGGTTCCGTTTAAAGGGATCCATAAGGGTTCCTTTAAAGGGATCTATTCGGGCATGCCTGCGAGATTGCTTTAGGGTTGGGACTGGATTTATGAGCTTAAGGCTTTAAGGTTTAAGGGCTTGGGGTTTAACCATGCTCATAGAGTCCATGCCTCGCGGGCGTCAAAGTAATGTTATGCGGCTTTATACGGGTTTAAAACGGGCCGTTGGTAGGATCATGGACAGCGGTCCTGGGAGGTTTTGAAGGAGCTATGGGGTTTAGGGCTTATGGCAGGGCCGACAGAGGACATCACGCTTGCTTGGTAGAAGAGCAGAGACAATCTATATCAACGGGGCTTGGCGAATCACGCCAGCATCACGCTAGGGTCACGGTCCCATTGGCCTAGGAATTACTAGGCATTTAGCACAAGTCTGGCCCCAGAAGCACCACATCCTGCCTCCAAGGGCCATCCCCTTCAGCAGCTTTCACTCGAATGCATCTGCAGCTCAGTTCGCCCGTGTGCATCACACAGAGCTCGAGGTCTAATTTGGCACGGCTCTTTAAAAGCTGCCTGCATCCTTGATCATCAGGTCTAGGTGTGGCTACTCCTCCGGACCTCCCGTTAAGATTTTTGCAAATATTCCATGAAATATTCGGTTTAGGGTTTAGGGTTTAAGCTCACGGATTCGTCTGCGAATTCGCGCAGAAAAGAATGCCTCCCATGCTGATGTGAAACTCGTGCCTCTTCTCTGGCGAGTCCTCGTCATCCAAACCACCACCAGCCCGCTTCAAGCGCATGCGGCAAACCTCATCCCGCCGCCCACTCACCGAGAGATTTCCGTTTTGCATATCAAGTCCACGCCAGGGTCCGTGTGCCCTAATACCTAAACCCTAGAATCCATATATATATATAGATAGATAGATAGATGAACCCTAAAGAACCCATTAAGGGAATTCTTGTATGAACCGTTGAGAACCTGCTACACCTGAAGCACTCAAGAACCCTAATCCTAAACTCTAAACGATTTAGGGTTTAGGGCTCAGAGGGTTGAAGGGTTAAGGGGTTTTAGGGTTTAGGGGGTTTAGGGGGTTGAGGGGGTTGAGGGGGTTGAGGGGGTTGCGGGGGCTTTGGGGCTTCGGGGCCCTACATAAACCCTAAACCCTCATCCCTAAACCCTAAACCCTTGCAGGAAGCCCTTACAAGGACCCTTTGAGGCATCCTTTGAGACTGTTCTGAAACCCTACGGGTCCAAAGGACCTAATCAATTATGTACTTGGTGTGTGGGATAGGGTTTTGGGGTTTAGGATTTAGGGTCGTTTTGCAAGTCAGTATTTTGTGAGAGTAAATGACTTTTTGGTACGTGGACGCTGGGGGAAACCCCTTGTCCTTTTAGAAACAATAGACAGAGCCCGATACCTGTACCCCTTAGTAGGAAAGATTAGAAGGTCTACTAGCCGGTCTGTTTATCTTTTGGGGGAGCCATGAAAAAGGACAAGGCTGGCGGGAAATGCCGGCCTGCATGGCCTCCTCGCATTCCGCCCTTCCTGCAGCTCGTGAGGAAGCGAAAGACCCGAAGCCGCTTTGGTGGTTTATAGGTCTTGTTATGAAGGTTTAGGTTTAGGCCTAGTTTTAAGCCGTTTTAAACAGGCGTTGCAAGGGTTAGGCGGCGTTTAAGGGTAGCACCTGTAGGTTTAGGGGTTGGACGTTTAGGGCTTTCATTTCGTATGTTTGCTTCTTAGTGTGTTGGATTGTGGATAGAAGCGGTTTGGGGACTCATCGTTTACGACCCGCATATTCCACGGATGCAGTTGTTGGGTGCCTTCCCCTCAGTAGCCGTGTACTGTGTAGACCCTCAATGCCGGTTGCCTTTCTTGGGCTACCCGCTTCCATATCAAAGGATGCCAACTGTACTTACTTCCCCAATAAGCCAGGGAACCGAAAGGTTAAACTTTCAGATTACTTCTAAAATCTATGAGATCTAAGTGTAAAACAGGTAGATTCGGCAGCAAGGAACTAAAAGGGCAACTCTAGGCAAGGCTTAGTGTTTGCATTTGGGGGTTTCCGAAAATAGGGGACCCTAATATAGTAACCCTAAGTAGTAGGATCCTTATTATAAGGACCCCCAAATAAGGTACCCCTAACTTTCGGAGACTCTAAACCCTAAACCCTTTATAGAGCCCTTATAATAGATCCCTTTAAGGAAGCCTTAACCCCCAAATAAGGTAACCCTAATTTTCGGAAACTCCTAATTTCTGCTTGTGGTTCCAAAACCAGACAAGGACTGGAGTCAGGAATACTGCTGAGAATGACGCCTGGAACCCAAAACCTTCAAGTAAAAGCCAGAAAGTTGGAATATGCTTATCCTAAACCCTTTATGGTAAATTATGGGGTATCCTGCCCTGAAACCATATTCCAACTTTCTGGAGTTCCCTTTAAGCGCCCTTAGAAGCAAAAATACAGAGCATAGTTTTGATAGCCCTGTAGGATAGGAAGACTAGACTATTCGATAACCCAGTTTGATTACTTGGAAGGTAGCCAGTAGAGTTATAAGTAACCTAAGTGGGATCCCAATACGCTATAGAATAACTACTTACTCCGTCCCCCGACCCTCCAAGTATAGTAAAGAGAATGTTTAAGAAGACTACCTAGACCCAAGAGTAACCTAGGAACAAAAAGGATGCCCTTTTTGGTTTAAAGGGGGTTATAAGGGAACCTGAACCCTCAAAAAGGGAATAAGGGCCTACTCTAGGTCCTAGCTACTAAAGAGGACCGGAGATCCCTTGCAATGGTCAGCGGCCAGGACGTCGCTTTCTGCCAGGAAACTACATTCATCAAGACCCTAAACCCCCAACAGCGGGTCTAAGACTAAGATGTAACCCCTAAACCCTGTACCCTAAACCCTGACCCCTAAACCCTAAATCCTAAACCCTAACCCCTGGGCTCACTACATGCTAACAACATTGAAATTTGAAGCTCCAAGGTGCTGAAGACACATCACTTGGAGCATCCAATGACTTAATAAGTACCCTAAGGCTCCTGGACCCTCGTAGTGAGATCCCAAACCTTAGCCCCCAAAGCCCAAACCCTCCCCCAGAAAGCCCATGACCCCTTTCGGAGCCTTGGGGTAAGTAATAAGAAGAGAGTCGGAAGTGCTCGAAGTTGGATCCGAATTGGGCTATGGTACTTATATGACTTATACGTCTATGAATCATTTTACTCATTTGCTTCCTAAGTCCCCCGAACCTCCAAGCACACAAAGGGTTTATCGGCTCCTTTACCTTACACGCTGAGTTCTGCACCTTAAGCGCATGGGGCCTGCCCTAAACCCTACATTTGGCACGTAAGGCTTTTAGGGTCTAAGGCTCTCCGGCTCTATGGCTCTTAAAGCTTTATACACAATATACGTCACCGCCAAGCCCTAAAACAACCTCAACCCTAAACCCTAAATCCCTTTAAGGAACCCTTTAAGGAGCCCCAAGGTAAAGCCAGTCCATCAACCCCAAACTCTCGTGGCCTGTGGTCAGCAGAATGGTCATGCCGGCGATAGTCGGAACCGTCGAAGGTCCGATCCTGATGCAGGGCACTTCCCGGATTTAGGGTTTCGGCTCAAAGGATTAAGGTTTACCTTAGCCTTGAAGAACCTACCTCTTTAGGGTTCTTTATTATGTTTTCCTTACAATAAAAGTCCCTGAAAAGGTACGTAGGTTATCCCGGGCTAAGGTAAGGCTTATGGATTACGACCTATTTAGGGTTTAGGGTTTAGGGCATAAAGCGGAATTCCTTCAAAGGCAAAGGGTTCCATAAATGTAAACAATTGCCAACTATTCAGGCTTCTACTTTGGGGCCCAAGGAGTAGTAGTTGGGGCTGTAGGGTTAAGGGTTTAGGCGATTAGGTTTTGATTTGGTGTTGGAGAGCTGGTTCGCGCAACCCCTCAGACTCGAACCCCCTACCCTATATAAACCCTAACGACCTACCTTATGGCCCTGAGCCCTAAACCATTTTCGCGAAAAGCCAAGCCCTATTGCAACCACCATAGTAATCCTGTAGTAACAGCACCAAAGATCGCTGAAACCCTAGCCTAAAAACAAAACACCAAGAAGCCAAAGCTAAGCCGAAAGCCCCAAAGTCCCCCTGCGGCCATACAACCCCCAAAGCCCCAAACTCGCTACAAAACCATCGCAAAACCAGAGAAAAAGTCTGAGAACATCGTTTCAGTACAAGCCTTCATTGAAACCAAAAAAATGTGAGCCCCCGATAAAGCAAAAAGATGTAAACCCTAAATCTGCAGAAACTAAAAGCCCCGACGAAGGCCAATCCTCTTCGATGCCAACGACCCTCTTCTGGTCGGAGGCCTTAGGCGCGCGCTGGTTTGGGGCTTAGGGGTTTAGGGTTTAGGGTTTTAGGGTTTAGGGTTTAAGGGTTTAGAGTTTAGGGTTTTTGGTTTCGGGTTTAGGGACTTCGTAACTAGGGTTGTATATATGGTGCCTATACTTATAATGACTTATAAACAGAATTCATGTGCATCCCAAGTCCCATGATCCTCCAAGTAGGGCTTCGGACTTTACCGAAAAACTGTAGGTACGTAGAGGGGTAGTTTAGGGCTTCAGGGTTTTAGGGTCTTACTAATACGGTTTCAAGTTTCTGGGCTGTATTCTTTATGGCTTTAGGGTCTAATTAGGGTTTGGGGTTAGGGTTTACGGGCTTCGGCTTGGAGGCGTCGGGGTTGGGAGCTGGTCGAAAGGTCTAGAAAATTCCCAAAAGATTTCCTCCATATAAAGTACCATTATGGACCTAGTAAGGATAGTCTTTTGGGGCCCAAGTCCATAATGGTACTACATATGGAGCTTCGTCAACCCGAACTCAGGAGAGAGTCCAACCATTCCAGTGGACCCCAAGCCCAAACTCTCAGCGGAACCGGCTGGGCACTAAACTTGCGCATCCCGCTTAACCCTTCACCCTGAACCCTAAAGCCTCAAACAAGATCGAACAACTTGCCCAGGAGAGCCTCTTGCAAACACCTTTGAAAAAGAAACCCGAAACCTGATAAAATTGGGTCTAGGGTTTGGGGTTGAGGGCTTAAACGGTTTAGGGTTTGGGGTCCCTTAAACGAAAAAGAACCCTAAACCCCCCTCCCGAAAACCACAAACCTTGCACCCTAAACCCCAAACCCGACACCGTCACCCTAAGCCCTACACCCCATGCCCAAAGCCGCCCACCCCAAACCCTTGAGGGGAACCCCTACCCTATAATGGGCTCTGATGGGTATGTAATAGCTATATTAAGGGTATATACCTAGGGGTCCTTATTGGGGGTCCCTCCTCTTACCCTTGGATAAACCCTTGAAAAAGAGACCCTAAACCCTCCGTGCCTTGGCAAGCCCCTCTTCCGGCGGCACGAAGCGGCCAAGCCAGATCATCCCCTTCCTGGGGCCCAAAGAACCTACCTTTTCTTGTAGTATCCTTAAGGGAGGGGGGTCCCAGGGGGGTATATAGCCTAGTGATCCCAATCCTCCCTAGTACTCCCTAAGGTTCCCTTACAGTCCCCTAAGGATTCCTTATACCCTCCCTCCTTGAACCACCCTCCCTTAAGGATCCTATAATTTTAGGGTGCCCTAATACTGCTGATGGACAAAATCCTGCATGACCCTAAGGACATTAAACTATGAGAACTATGGTATATTCCTTATAATGGGTAATGCAGAATTTTGTCCATCAACAGTATTTCTTTGTCCTAAACCCTACTAAACCCTCAACCAAAAAACCAGTAGTTCCCTAACATTTCTTCGTATAAGTCCTCAGAGCGGTAGGTTATTTGGGGTTAAGGTTTCTCCTTCGGCAGAGCACCGCGGCTGGTGGTGAACAGGTGTATGAAGTCTCTTGATTGTTAGAGGTTTAGGGTTTACCCCCCAAGTAGCCTACCTTTTTAGGAAATCATACAAGGCAGGTTATTCAGGGTTAAGGTAGGGTTTAGGCTTTGGTATGTCATGCTTACAGTTGTAACGAGGAGCCCTGGGGAAAAGTTGTTGCAATCAAGCTTCTAGGCTAGGGGCTGAAAGGGTGCCTGCATAAGGCTTCCTTGCGGGGCTCGCAGCTGTTTGAGGTTGAGGGCTCGATAAGTGCTCTAGAAGCCCGTCATGAGGGTTGTGGAAGGTTTCGTTTCAGTGTCATTCATTGGCTTCAGGGTTTACGGATGTATCATGGTATGAATATGTCGGGGTTATGCGGGGTACTGTAGTATTAGTTATTCACCGTAAGCCGTACTTAGGCCCAGGGGACGTAGTAAGTAGGTTACAAGAAGAAGACTTAAAGTTATCCCTACTTATACTTGGAGGGTCGGGGGACTTAGTAAGTGGTTTTTTTAGGGACTTATAAGTACCATAACCCCAATTAGGGTCCCTTTTAGGGTACTTATAAGTCTACTTACTAACTACTTACTAAGTCCCCCGACCCCCCAAGTAACCGACTTACTAAGCCTCCTGCGCCTCCAAGTACCAGGACTAAGCCCCTAAACCCTACCTTAACCCGGGAAAACCTACCTGTTTAGGGACTTATATAAGGAAATCATAATAAGCTACCCTAAAAAGGTAGGTAGTTATTCAGGGTTAAGGTAAGCCCTAAACCGATAACTACCAATACTAAACCCCCTCGGGCCGCCATAATTGGATCGTTGGCTTCAAGGCGTCTGCGGAGTTTGGGATGAGGCTTGCATCAAGCTTCTACTCGCTGTCTACAAGCGGGCACTTTGGGGCATTTTGGGTTTGAAATTGTGTGTGTTTGATTGGTGCGTAAAGTGCTTCGGGTTCCTTAACCTTAAACCCTAAAAGCCCTAAACCCTAAACCCCTGAACCCTAAGCTCTAAACTATACTGCATGTTTGCTTCTGGTCTTGGCCTCTCAAGTTTATACCCAGAGATCCCCATGACCCTTGATTAAGGAATACACCTCAAACCATAACATGAAGGCCCCTATAATTTAATGTAGGGTCCTTACTTAAGGGATATCGGGATCTCTGGGTAGGGTTTAGGGCCAGTCGGGGTTTGACTTTAGGGTTGCGGGTTTAGGGCCATCTTAAAGCACAGGCCTTATTACGGCCTAGGGCCCCTACTTTTAAGGGTAGGCTATACTATACCTTAACCTACGAAACCCTACCTTTTTGTAGGTTCTTATTGTAAACCCTAATATGAAATTTATAGGGACCCTACTTGTTTGTAGGTTTTGGTAGGTTAAGGTACTTCTAATAAGGAACCCCCTACTTTTAAGGGTAGACTATACTATACTTCTAACAAGGAATCCCTACTTTTAAGGGTATACTGTACTATGGGATACTTCTAATAAGAAACCTCCGAAATAGTATAGGCAATCAATCTAAACCCTAAACCCTAAACCTTAAGCCCTTATACTATACTTATAACTACAGTAATGTAAAGAAACCCCAAAATAAATAGTATTGGCAGTTCTTCTAAACCCTAAACCCTAAACCTTAGGCCAAAAAGCTCCTGGACCCTCCTAGTGAAATCCCAAACCTTAGCCCCCAAAGCCCAAACCCTTCCCCCAGAAAGCCCATGACCCCTTTGGGAGCCTTAGGGTAAGCTCTAAACCCTAAACCCCTAAACCCTAAACCCCTAAACCCTAAACCCCTAAACCCTGCACCCTAAACCCTAAACCCCCAAACCCTAAACCCTAAACCCCTAAACCCCCAAACCCTAAAGCCCTAAACCCCTAAACCCCGCACCCTAAACCCTAAACCCCTAAACCCCCAAACCCTAAACCCTAAAGCCCTCAAGCCCTAAACCCCTAAAGCCCTAAACCCTAAAGCCTAAACCTTAGGCCCCCGGCCACCCTTGTCCTTTTAGAAACAATAGACAGAGCCCCATACCTATATCCCTTAGTAGGAATTATCTAAGAAGGTCTACTAGCCGGTCTGTTTATCTTTTGGGGGAACCATGAAAAAGGAGAAGGCTGAGGCCCCCAAACCCTAAACCCTAAACCCTAAACCCCTAAACCCTAAGCTCTGCCCTAAACCCTAAACCCTAAACCCTAAGCCCTAAACCCTAAGCCCTAAACCTTAGGCCCCCAAGCACTTTAAATAATATGATATAAGGAACCCCCAAAATGAATAGTATTGGCAATTATTCTTAATCCTAAACCGTAAACCTTAGGCCCTAAAGCCTTTCAAGCTCAAGGCAAAGGCCCCAGAGCTCGGACGCTGCTGCCAAGGGGCATTCCGCCGCAGGTAGAGCTGGAAGTCCTGAATCTTCTAGGTCCTACCTTAGGGTTTAGGGGTTGAGGGTTTAGGGTTTAGGGCCCTACCTTAACCCTGAATTTTCTACTTGGAGGCTCATGGGTAGCTATAAGTGGACTTATAAGTAGGGTAACTATACCTACTTGAAGGCTCATGGGACTTGGTAAGTAAGGTTATAAGTAGGTTATAATTAGGATAACCCCACTTAGGGGACTTATAACCCCAATTATAACCTACTTACTAAGTCCCATGATCCTCTAAGTATAACCCATATTCGGGGACTTGTAACCCCACTTATAGCTACCCATGAACCTCCAGACTATAGACTATATAGACCCTAAACCCTAAGCCCCATAGATCCCTTTAAGGAACCCTATAGATCCCTTTCAGGAACCTCCCAGTCGGCCCTAGGCCCTACCCCAAAAAACTACCTTTGATTACGGCTTCCTTAGGGTTTAGGGTTTAAGCCAGAAAGTTGGAATATGGCTTCAGGGTAGGATACCCTATAATTTACCATAGAAGGGTAAGGATAATCATATTCCAACTTTCTGGCTTTTACCCTAGGGTCTAGGGTTTAGGTTGGTTTATTTAGGATAATGACTATTACGCTTGCAGGGACGTATGCCTTACGTATGGCAAGCATAGTGCCCTGCCTTGGGAGCCGGAGGCACTCTGCTTGAGTTTAAGGTAAGGTTGAAAACCCTAAATCCTAAACCCTAAACCCTCAACCCTAGACCCTAAACCCTCAACCCTAGACCCTAAACCTTAAACCCTAAACCCTTGACGGATTGTGTAGGTAGTCGGGGTTTAGGGTACCCCATGCAGGTTTAGCCTGCTGGGTGTTACCCAAACCTTGCAAAATCCCTTAATTCAGCAATATACCTTAAGCTATACCAGGATCCCTAATATGATTTAAGGTATATTTCTTGATTAGGGGATTTTGGAAGGTCTGGGTACGGTTTAGGGTTTAGGTAATCTCTCAACCCGGTGTTCCCAGAGAGCGCGATACCCCCTAACGAAGGAATATAGCCTAGATTGCACTATGAAGCCCCTTATAATTTGGGGTATATTCCTGAATTAAAGCGCATTGGGCCCTCTGGGTTAGGGTTTGGGTCCAGCACTTGTTCCCCAGAGGCTTGAGACTCCCAAGAGTGCCTTCAGATAGTCTTTACTGCATGACCGAAACATTAGCAGGACCCTCCTTGTACCCTCAAGAAAAGGGCAAAGGACCCCTATTAAGAGGTATTCAGGGTCTGATAGAGAGTACATAAAAGGGCGGTATGATAGAACCCTTATAGATCCCTTACAGGATCCCCAAAACCCACACCCCCTTCAGACTCTCTCAGGAGGTGTTGGTGTGTTTGAGAGTGGGCATACCGACCCTAAACCCTACACCGCATACCTCTTCCTAAACCCTAAACCCTACACCCCCAAACCCTAAACCCTAAACCCTAGACCGCATACCCCTTCCATAAAAATCTTACCTCACTCTGCACTAAGCCCCCGAAAGACGCAAAGAGACACGAAGACTTGGGCCGGCTCCAAAGCCCAGGCATCGGTGGACGGTTTGGGATTTGGGGTTTAGGGTTTAGGGTCTGAGAGTCTAATCAGGGCTTGGGCTTGAAGGGTGGAGGGGTTGATGGTTTAAGGTTTGCGGTTTAAGGTTTAAGGTTTAGGGTTTAGGGCTTAGGGTTTAGGGTTTAGGGTTTAGGGTTTAGGGTGTCTTCCAAGAGTCGGGAACAGCTGTGGCTGCAGTAGCCTCTCAGAGACAGACGCACGAGAGGTTCTGCGGACTGAAGCGGAGCAATGTACGCCGGATGCTCAGACGGCGCCAGACAGCAGATGTCTGGGTATGGCCAGAACGTGGGACGGTGCCAGACCCCAAACCCTAAACGACACGGAAGCGGCTTGTGGTACGCGGGCCATGCTGCTCCAGCCGCACTCTCCTCGGGCTTAGGGCTCCAGCAGTGCTGGAGGCGGGCATGGCAGCTTGACCGACCCGTCCTCCTCTTTCACCGTGAATGGGAGCCCGTTGCCATCACACGGCATCACAGCTTGGGCCAGGGCTAGTGAAATGATCACAGGGAAAAGCTCTGTGCTTCAAGGCGTTTCCTATGTTGTAACAATGTTGCCGACGAATCCAGTACCAATAGAAAACAAACGCGAGAGCTCCAGGAAGGGCGGTCGAGCTGGGCCACCGGGTTGAAGGTCTAGGGTTGAGGGTTAAGGTCTTGGGTTTAGGGTTTCGGGCACAGAATCTTTAATCATGCTTGACGAAGCCTAAGCCGCAAAACCAACCGCTGAGCAAACCGAAAGCCTACGCTACGATGTTCAGTTCAGGGTTTGGGGCTTTGGGTCTGTGGTTTAGACATCGGGGTTGCTTAATAGCTTGGGGTTCAAGATCTTTTCGTGCAGGGTTTGATGCCTGTTCATCTCGAACTCCACCTACATCCAGCTACGATAAGTGCCTGCCAAGACACCCGGTCCCTGTCCTACAAAGATTACCTTCTTGAGAACAATCCTAATCCGGAAACACCAAGCCAACCTGCGCGCACTCCTGCAATGCAAGATGTCCAGCGAAACGATGAACCCCAAGCCTCCTTATATAAATGGTTTAGAGTCTAGAGTCTAGCGCAAGGGTTTTGGGTTAAACCCTAAAAACCTCAACCCTAAACCCTAAACCCCTAAACCCTCAACCCTCAACCCCTAAACCCTAAACCCCTAAACCCCTAAACCCCATTCCCTAAACCCTGAACCCCTAAACTAAACCCTAAACCAGCGACTCCCTATTGATTGATAAAGCTAGGCGGCACTGAAGTCCAGGGCGTCCACTGCAAAGTATCCGAGGCGTCCGCGGCGGAGCTGTTTCCCTGAAAATCGGTTTAGGGTTGAGGGCTCCGGGGAGGGGGGCGGGGGTGTTAGGGGGGCTTATCCGACAGGATGTGCGTTTAGGTCCACGGCTTACAACCCGGGTTTCAGAGCACGGCTGCTAAGCTTCACAAGCACCCAACCCCAACAACTGGACGGGCTTGTCTAAACCACAAAACCTTTACAGAAACCCTCAATATAGGGACGCTTCTAGAATTCGTGACAGCGCACTCATAGCTAGAAGAAGACCCAAGAGAACCTGCATAGAAACACTGCGCAAGAAGCTGTTTAGAAGCACCTTAGAAATCCATCGAAATCTTGCAAGACCTTGTAGCACCCCACAATAAACTACAAAAAAAACTCTGGGAAAGCCTGTAAGCCCCTGTTCAAAGCTTTCTCAGCTCCCTGCCGCCCCCTCGCCGCGCAGGTGCTGCACCATGCGCCAGAGCCTCTGTGGACGGCCGATGCATGGACAAGTTCGTGGCTTTAGGGGCTTTAGGGTTTGTGCTGTCTCATGGTGTTTCCTCAGGGTTTGTGACGATTTCGCACAGCGCTTTACACTACTCCAGCAAAACGCCAACCTTAAACCGTTTAGGGGTTTAGAGTTTTAGGGGTTTAGGGTTTGGGGTTTAGGGAAGCCCTAACATTAAGCCTGAGGCTGGGAATTCAGAGTGTATGCATCCGATCAAGGAGGCGACTGTTCCTAGTCTCGGAAGCCAAATCGGGTGCCTTCCAATATGCTGCAATTCGTCGGGGGATATAGTGAACCCCAGAAAGTTGGAACATGGATTCAGGAGTTTGGGATGATTAGTGCAGGGATTCCCTCTACTTTACCTGAAAGGTGTGGGGATAATGATGTTCCAACTTTACTTGAAGGCTCATGAGGCTCAGTACGTAAGGTTATATGTAGGTTACTCACTGGCCCAAAACCCAGGGAAATAAAAGTTGAAACTTTCAGAATCGACTACCTTATAAGAACCCCAAAAGTTGAAAAGTTGAGTTTACAGCCAATAAGGTTATAATTAGGATAACCCCACTTAGGGGACTTATAACCCCAATTATAACCTAATTACTAAGTCCCATGATCCTCTAAGTAGACCCTAAACCCTAAACCCCATAGATCCCTTAAAGGAACCCTATAGATCCCTTTAAAGGAACCCTATAGATCCCTTTAAGGAACCCTATAGATCCCTTTAAGGAGCCCTATAGATCCCTTTAAGGAGTCCCTCTAAGTATGGCTTCTACTGTACACCCTCCAAGGCCTCCTCGTCCAGGAAACTCCGCAGGAATATTGGCGGCATCACCGCAGAGATGTCGCATGGATGCAAACTAGATTCTACTATTTGCTTAAGAACACCCAAAAAATAAAAAAAAAAATGATAATCCCTATATTATCCCTATAAGGAATATATTTTTAATTTTTGGTGGGTTCTTAAGCAAATAGTAGGATTTGCCTTGCAACACCATACACATACACACCCCTTGAAAGACTTCAGCTTCAACATCTCCACTCTGGTTTGACCTGTGGTGCATTGGCATTGCTTGATTGACCAGCCATGAACAAACAGCCTGTCCCAAATCAGGCATGGACGCCACTTGGGCTGGAAGGGAAGCAGCTTGGGGGGGCGAGTGTCCCCGTGTACAAATTAAAAACGAGCTGATTACTCTCTAGCAGCTGCAGGACACCGGCCATCATAACCTAGGATACCCAGTAACCTAAGAAAACAAAGGCCTCTCTTTTTGGTATTGGGTAACTTTATAAGGAACCTAGGACTACAAAAAGGGAATAAGGGTACTACTGGGCATCCTAGTAACATATTCCCTCTCCAGAAGGTCCTGCAGGATGAAAGCCCATCCTGAGAGAAAGTCCAAGCCATCTCTGTGACCGGCCCCCCGGCAAGCCAATGACCATTGTTTGAGGACATACACAGCCTCCCCACACTGCTCTTTGACCCGACTTATATCCTAAACCCTGTCCTATAAATCCCTCAAAGGAACCTTATATATCCCTAATTATAAGCTACTTACTAAGTCCCTTGCCCTGAACTTCTCTTTGACCCGAGTGGCCTTCTGCCAAATTGCTTGGGCTTAGGGCTTAGGGCTTCGGGCTGAGGCCTAAGCTTCAGGGTTTGGGTTCCGAAATAACTCGTGTTAGCACTGCGGGCAGAAAGCCACATCTCCGATAGAGAGCACCGACCAAGATTGGTCGAGATGGGTTTAGGGTTCAGGGTTTAGGGTAGGGGCAGAAGTTGCGTACACGATTAACTAACACGGAAGCATGACTGCATTTAGGACACAAATTCCGTGGGAATTTGACACACCTGAAACCTTGTGAAGAACCGCCGCAGCCAGTTCACCAGACAACCCCAAAATATTCAACCCGAAATGCTGAAGCCCTAAACCCGAAACCCCCTTACACCTGCGTAAACCCTGCCCTGAACTGGTAAACCCTGCTTGGAGGGGCAAGGGACTTAGTAAGTAGGTTATAAATAGCTTTAAGGGATTTATAGGACAGGGTTTAGGATATAAGTAGGGTTATACTTGGGGTAACTCCATTTAGGGTACTTATAACTCTACCCATAACCACTTACTAAGTCCCCTGCCCCTCCAAGCAAACCCAGCTGATACTAACCCCAACTTTGCCACCATGCTGTCAGGCAGCAGCACCCGCATCCCGGACAATTCGACTGCCTGAATGCCGCACTTCTCGCTTGGCTTCAGCAGGCTCTCGGGTTGATAGGGCTTAAGAGGCTTAAGGGGCTTACGGCTTAGGTTGCTTTGGCTTACATCCGGAGGCTTTGTAGCTAGGTTCTTGCTGACGAGCTTCATTTAAGATACCAGAAAGACCGGATGAATAGCAAATAAGATGTTTGCTTAAACTGGAAAGCTGAGTTAAACTTCTCAAAACGAGCCCGAGAAGGGGGCAAAGAAACTTCATTCATAGGGGGGCGACGCGGCTTCATCGGCGAGCGCGTCCGGGTAGAAGAGAATGTGCCGAATGCACTCGGGTGCGTAGCAGGGGCACCCGGTGATGAACAGCCGGGATGTGGGGCTGCACTTCGTTAGCCAGGCGAGCCAATGCATCTTGACAATCGGGCAGCGACTTGATCAGCAGACTTATCTGGAGATCCTGCTGCCGACCTGACCTCAGGCACGGAGACGGCAAAGCTCACATGTGAGGCCTACTTGTCGGGTATCATGGGGAACCGAAGGTTAATCTTTTTGGGGTATATAGGGATTATAAGGGGAACTACTCCCCAAAAATGGTTACTTGTTACCGACTCTGCTACTGGGGAGGTCGTCCACCCCTCCCTGAATGCCAATGACCCTCCACTGAAGTGTTCTCCTGGACACTTCCGGCAGGCAGCCGAAACCATCGGCGTCACTGGGTTTAGGGTTTAGGTAGGGGTTTAGGGTTTAGGGTGTAGCTGGAATCATCTGGCCGAAGAACTGTGCCAGCGAAGTATCTCGGCGAGGCTCCTCAACTTCGCCCAAAACTTCATCAGCCTCACGGGAAAGCCCACCCCAGAGACTTCGAGGATAAAACTGCTAGTTATCTGAAAAGACAAAGTTCGGGTGGTTGATGCTCGGGGTTTTTAATGGAGAATTTAACATAAAGTGCGGGTAGGGTAAGGCCAGGCAGGCCACACCACGTGAGGGTGCAGCTCATGCCAGGCCAGGCCAAACCAGGCCGGGATTTAGGGCGTTGAGGTTTTCAGACAAATCGACCCACAACATGAGCTGCACACGCACCCTGATCCCTGGAGACCTAAGCCCCAAACCCTGAACCTTTAACCCAAGCACTAAGCCCGGAGTAAGCCCTAAGCGCCCCTAAACCCCAAGCCCTCAAAACGCTCAACCCCCAGACACCGAAATTTCGACACCGAAACTATCGTGTCAGCCTTCCCGAACATGCAAGCCCTCAGAAGCCCAAACCCCAACAAGAGTCCAGGGCTTAGGGTTTAAGATCTAGCATGTAAGGCTTAGGCCTCAGAGTTTAGGGTGTGCGGTTTAGGGTTTGCGGTTCAGGGTTTAAGGCTAAAAAACCAACAAAACCAAAACTGACCTGGAAAACCTGAAGCCTAAAGCCCAAACCCTGAGGCCCTTAACCGTGCGAGGAGAGCCATCCTCACGGAAACCCTTTATGGTGTAGCGTTTTAGGGTTATAGGGTTTGGGGTTCAGGGTTTTAGGGTTCAGGGGAATCCTTATACAGGCACCTTGAAGAAGCCCTGAAAAGGAACCGGAAGGATAATATAGTGGCCGGAACAGATAGAATAGGGTTTTGGGATGTCTTATGCTATAATCATACCCCAAGGACGCTAGGCCCCTACGTTACAGTTGGTAATTATTGAAGCCCCCAGAAGCGAAGGCCTGCGAACCATTCGCGAATTCGCAGCCCGCCCGAAGTCGCAGCTGAAACCTTCACTTCGGCTTTAGGGAGTCATCAGAGTAGCTTCCTTTAATCTGCAAGGACTCCTGTACAGGGATCTATAAGGGTATCATAAAGGCTTCGGGTTTAGAGGCTACTATTCTAGGTTTTGGGATAGCCCCTGGAAAAATGAGGGTACCCTCTTTTCTACTATTCAGCTTCAAAACGGAGGTGCTAAAGTAAAAACGGCAAGAGGGTACTACCCAGGAACCTAGTAAAAGCGACTAGGTCTTCTGGGGTGTGCGAATGCATGATATGGCCCTGTTTTTCCTTCTTTCAACAAGGCATGTCTGAGGCTTCATAACGGTACTGCGAGGGTTCTTCTCCGCTGCTTAAGGGCTTTTAGTAGTGTCCCAAGTAGATGTGTTGCATTTGGGGCTTCCTGGAATTCGCGGAATGTTGCATGTTTAGTCGCGAAAAGCGCAATACAGGCTACCCTAAACATCAATCCCGAAACCCTGAAAGCCCTCGATAGACCCTTTGACCCTAAGCTGGCTTGCCTTATGTGGCTTGTGCTGCTCAGAATCGAACCCGTGAACCCAGGCAAACCCTCCAGAAGCACTCATCACGCCCCGATATCAACACACCAATCTCTAAGGGAAACCTACCCCAAACCTTCTAAACCTTCAACTCCGAAACCTTAACGCCAAAGCCAAAAAAATAGCAAGGCCCTCAAGCCCTGAATCACCCTAATAACCTTTAAGTGGGGCCCCAAAAAAGCACACAAGCAAAACATGGATATCCCATATAAACCGCCTCATAATGAAGCCCAATAAGGTAGGGATATCCCCATAAAATGCTCATGCTTATGTCCTTTTTGGGTCCCTAATAATCCCTAAACCCCTTAATCCCTAAACCCCAAACCCCTTAAACCCTAAACCCTAAAGGGGGTCCCTATTAAGGGGAACCCTTAAGGCCCACCAAACCCCTCAGCCCCATTCGGCGACAAAGAAAGCGTTCCCCCCCGGAGTTCTCCGAAACTCGTCATGGATAGTCCTACATATGACCGCCCTTTAGGTCCACCAAATTATACGGCACTCTTATAGAAAGAACCGAAAAAGTACCCTAGTTTAGAATACTACACATATAGGACCCTGATAGAAACCCTAAAGAAGCCCTTCTAGATCCATTTGAGGAACAAGGGAGGCCCCGTTTAGAGAACTACCCTCATGCCAGGTCACTCTAGCGCCGTCTCGGCCGAGTCCGAGGACTGAATCAAAGGGCGCTTGGAGGGTCGGGAGACTTCGTAACTGGTTACTTAGGGATTTATAAGTGCCATAAGCCCAATTAGGGTCCCTTTTAGGGTACTTATAAGCCTACTTACTACCTACTTACTAAGTCCCCGACCCTCCAAGTGTAGAAGTGATCCCTTCCGGGGGTTTGGGGTTTTAGGATGCAGAAGGCCCTATAAGGTTTAACGGAGCTTGGAAGGGATATGCAAAGCTTCATAGGGGGATTGCAAAGGGTATCAATTTTGTCGCTTTCTATGGTGGTGTAAGAGAGTTCAAATGGCTTCGTGAAGCTTTTAGGTTGTTTTTGTTGTTTTCGGCTTGCGGGCTTGTTGTCCAATGTGCTTTTAGTGGAACTCGTGCTTCAGGTATTGTAGCAGCCGTCTACAGGAACACATTTTGAGGAACCCTTCACAGGAACCCTTTAAAGGAACCCTTGAAAGGAACCCTTTACGAACCCTTTAAAGGCACCCTTAGAGGAGGATTTAGGGTGGTGGGTCTGTCCCACGAGATGTCATAGAAGCCGAACGCTACATACAACAAACCCAGACCCTGAAAGCGCTTCAGGGCACTGAGGCTGAAGACAAAGACCCTCACAGTCGAGACCTTGACAAGTTAAAGGAACACTAAACCCTGAAGACTAAAAACCCTAAACCCTAAACCCTGATGAATCCTACAAAACCCTACACAGTACGTGCCGGCTTTGGTGAGCGCAGGGCCTCGGGAGAGCTGACGCTTGCGATCACGGAATATTCATACCGTATGCTCAGCGGAAGACCATGCCAAGCGAATGCTTGCGCCAATCATGACCTGCTGATTTCGGTGCCATCGCCTGGTCTCTGACGCATGTGAAACCTAAAGCAACTCTGTGCTTGGAAGCATCCGTGGTCCTGGCACGGCAAGAACTTCCATAACACGACAGCGAGGTCACAAACGTGCCGGCAGACACTATGGTTAAGGCCTACATTGTCATACTCATTCCTGCAAAGTGCTCGGGCAAAACAACAGAACTACACCCTTCAGGAAGGCACCGAGGCTCATCTCTGTCTTCGTATACTAGATCATATATGAGGGTTCCTTTACAGGTACCTCACGGGCTCTAGAGATTTAAGGTTTAGTTCGGGTGTAGGGTGTGCCGGTTTTGCTGTGGGGATTGGGCTCTATTTAGGGCTCAGGCTTTTCGCAGGTGTTGGCCTTGTTGTAAGGGTCCTGTAAGGCTTTGCGGGGCGGATGGGGTCTTTCCAGGGCTTCAGGGTCTTATCGGCTTCAGTACGTTGGGCGTGGTAGGTCTTGATAGGGGTCACCATCCGTGCTGTTTAAATGCAGCCTTCTGTAAGGAACCCTAAAGCCCAAGAACTCGAAATCCTAAACCCTAAACCCTGAACCATAAAGTCTCTCTCTCTCTAAAGCCCAAGAACCCGAAATCCTAAATCCTAAACCCTAAAGCCCCAAGAACCGAAATCCTGAACCCTAAACCCTGAACCATAAATCCTCAACTCTAAACCCTAGAGCCCAAAAAGTCAAAATCTATAGAACCCGTATAGTATCTTTTTAAAGGAACCCTAAAGCCCAAGAAAATCAAATACTAAGCCCTAAGCCCTAAACCCTTATAGATTCTTTTGCCCTAAGCCCTAAACCCTTATAGATTCTTTTCCTAACACCTAAACCCTTATAATTCCCTTTACAGGAACCCCTACAGATCTCTGTAAAGGAACGCTAAAACCCTAAAACCTAAATGGCCCAAGAACTCGACATCTGACCCCCAAAAAAAGGCCCAACCTCGAAGACCATCACTCCGGGAGCGCGGAACGCGGACCAACCCGGCTTGGTCTCAGGCCTCTATAGGAGCTCTTGGAGGGTTTTAGGGTTTTAAGGTTTAGGGTTTTGGGTTGTACGATTTTAGGGTTGAAGGCTTTGGGTTTCAGGGTTTTAAGGTTTTGGGTTTCGGGCTCAGGGTTTTAAGGTTTAGGGTCCTGGATTTTAAGGTTTAGGGTTTTAGTGTTTAGGGTTTGGGTTCAGGATTTTGGGGTTTAGGGTTTTAAGGTTTAGGGTTCAGTTTTTTAGGGTTTGGGTTTAGGGTCTCGGGCCTTTGTGGGGTAGGGATCTGAAAGGGTTCCATTAACGGGATCTATAAGGGTTCCTTTATCTCTAGGGTTAGTCTCGGGCCTCTGTGAGATTTCTTGAAGTTTTTCGGAAGAGTTTTAGGGCTTAGGGGCTATACTTGAAGGGGCAGGGGACTTAGCTCATTCCTACAGAGGTGAAAGTGGACGTTCGCTTCAGGTGGCGGCCTAGAAACGACGAACTCTGAACTTCGTCCAAAGTACCTGTCACCTTAAGCAACAAGTCCTGCTGAAGATCCTTGGTCCTTGATCAAAGTCGAAACTCCGTTCTGCGAACCAAAGAACATCAAGTCGTCCACATAAGCCAGGACGTAGAGTTGCTTACTGTCATGTACATAAAGTTTCGGGTCCGACTTCATGCGTCTAAAGCCGTTCTTCTCCATGACAGATGCAAAGTGCTGTTGCCAAAGCTTGGGGCTGTGCTTGAGGCCGTAAAAAGCTTTCTTAAGCTTCCACAAAGTTCGGCCTTGAGGACAAAACCCAAGTGGCGGAATGACATAAAAGTTTCCATCGAGCAGGGCATGAAGAAATGCCGTCGAAATGTCTCCGATTGATATATGCCATCCCTTTGCTACAGCCAAAGTCAACAAAAGGCGAAGTGTGGTTAAGGAGGGCGTAGAGGCGAAAGCCTCATCCTTGTCTTCAACCTGCTGGGTGTAGCCTCTACCAACAATCCTACAGCGCACAGTGCCAGCTGGCTTGCGCACCTTAGCCCACTTAGTGCAAATCGCTGAATTCAATTCTTCAGGAGAAACAAAGTTATAAGTACCCTAAAAGGAGCTACCTCAACCATAACCCTACTTATAACCTAATTACTAAGTCCCTGCTCCTCTCAGTAGACCCTAAGATAGCTTTACGGAACCCTATAGATCCCTTTAAGGTGCCCTTTAAGAGCCCTTACTAAGTCCCCTAAAGCCCTCCAAGCATGGTTTGGGGTTTGGGGCCTGGGATGGTTTGGGAGTCTCGGGTTCAAGAGATTTTTGTTGAAGGCTTTTTAAGGGTTTAGGGTTTAGAAGTTAGGGGTGTCGGGATTTAGGGTTTAGGGTTTAGGGTTTAAGGGTTTTGGGTTTAGGGTTTAGAAACTAGGGGTTTCGGGATTTAGGGTTTAGGGTTTAAGGTTCCGAAAGGCTTGAGGGTTTGGGCTTTAAGCGAATACCTGGAAGCCTGAAGCCTACACACGGCTGACAAGATGTAAACTTGCACCCCGGACCCTACACGAAAGCAGAAATGCTACACCCACGTTCACAAGGACGCCCGGAAAGGAACCACCCTCAAAGGACCTTATCTAGGAACCCTAAACCCTAAACCTTTAATGAGTCCTCAAAGCAAGCCTGAAGGGAGCCCGAAACCCAAAGTGGCACTAAGCCCCAAGCCCTAAAAACCTAAAAAGAAAGGGTTTAGGGTCTAGGGTTTAGGGAACCCTAAGTGCTACTAAGACCCAAGCCCCAAAAGCCCAAACCCTCCATGCAGAAGGGCTTAGCGGCTAAGCCCTAAAATCGAATATACAAGCCTCAACAATTGCCAATGTTATTCCTTAACTCCAAAGTACCGCAAAACCGCATTCAATTGTTAAACCCCTCATCTATAACCTTCAACCCCAAATTCAAAGCCCTAAGGTCCAAAACCCTGAACCCCAAACCCCAAAGCCTAAGCTCGAAATCATGAATCTCAAACCCTGAGCCCCAAACCCTTAATCCTAAACCCTGAATCCTCATGTAGAACCCCGAATATTTGCAAAGGTCATTCCTTAGGCCCTTCGCGTACCTCACTAGTACAGTAGAAGCCCAACAGTCAGAACATTATAACCCTGAGGCCGTTAAGGTAGGCAACAGGGATCCCAGCACGAACCATCCTAAACCCATGTTCCCCGAACCCTAAACCCTAAACCCGATTCCAATTATTCCCCCAAACCCTAAACCCTAAACCCTGCCCCAAGTGGCGCCTCACGTCCTCGATCCCCTGTGGCACTTCGAGGACGACGCGCTGAGTGATCCAGCCCTTGGGGGGCCAGGAGGGTGAAGGTTCACTTTTTTTTGGTTTAGGGTTTAGGGTTTAAGGGTTTAGGGTTTAGGGTTTTTTTTGAGGGGTATGGTTTAGGCTTTAGGGTATAGTTTAGGGCTTAGAAGGTAAATACAGGCTCTACAAGGGCTTCAAGAAGAGATTTTTTCTGAAACGAAATGATACGAATATCTGAGTCTTTGATATAGTGAAAAACTCGTATATGAAAACAAATAATGAAGTGTCTGACAGGGCTTCCTAAGGGTCGTATTTTAAAAACCCATACGAACAAAAACAAGACATTCGGGTTTCAATGCTATGTACGTACGTATGTAACGTATGTATGTATGTATGTGTGTATGTATGTATGTATGTATGTATGTAGGTGTATGTGCGGCTGTATGTGTATGTATGTATGCATGTATGCCTGCATGCCTGCATGCATAGATGGATGGATGGACGAATGGATGGATGGATGTTAGTATGAATATATGAATGTGTGAAGGAATGTTTATGTTCGTACATGTGTATATATGTGTAAATATGTACCTACACGCATGCCATGCCAATTGAGGCTCAAGGTTGCAGAAACGACGTTGATCAGACATCGCTGCTGCTGCCCTTGTATAGACATGTCTTTCGCCTGCTCTCTCTCGCGGTGTCCGAGTACTATAGGAGCCTTAACCATTAGAATAGGGTTTTGGGCTCAATTAAGGGGCTCTATAAGGGGCTACTATCAGGGTTTAGGGGCTAGAGGCCTTAATAATCAGAATAGGGTTTTAGGGTATACTACACTACAACTATAATTAATAAGGAATCCCTAAAACCCTATTCTAATCACGAAGGCCCCTACATTACGGCCTAAGGGTTGGCTCAACTTCTCGGCATTACGATTCGGGTGGACGGTTCCTTGCTAATGGGCACGACCTACACAGATACATATTACATATATATATATATATATATATATTGTTTAACAGTGGCATATGCAGAAACTGTAGTGTAGGTCTTAAGATCGAGATTGAGGGTTTGGGTTTAGGGTGCAGAGTGTAAGGAGTTTTAGAGGTTAAGGTTGAAGGTTCAGGGGTTCGGGGTTGACCGAAGACGACCGGCTTCCAGCAATACCAGCCAAGCCACCAAGGTTCTCCATAAATCACACTCGGAAACCCTAAACCCTAAGGTACCTCATACAGGGCTCATAAGGCCTGCGAAAATCTCAGCGAAAATCTCAAAGAAAAGCATACATCAACATCGGACGACAGAATTCTCTAGCCCCTCAACATAGCAGCATCATAAGAAGCAGACAGGCCCATCAGAGCCGAACCCTAAGCCCCTAAACCCTAAACCCCTAAACCCCTAAACCCTAAACCCCTAAACCCCTAAACCCTAAACCCTAAAGCCTGAACCCCTGAGTGCTAAGGTCAGGTCCGCAGGCGGGCGGGGAACTTTCAGCGCGGTGTCAAAGGACCTGCCGCTGAAGAGGCCTCAGGCTGCAGTTCGGTTTAGGGTTTCCTTAACCTACCAAACCCTACTTTTTTGTAGAATTTATAGGGACCCTACTTTTTTGTAGGTTTTGGTAGGTTCAGGTTCTATACTGAACTTAGAACCCTATCAAAAATCAAAAATTAAAAATTTTAGCTGTTTCTTAGGGGTTATAATAATCAAAAATTAAAAAGATATTTCTAAGTACCCCTAAGGAGTTTGGGGTTTAGGGTTTAGGGCAGTCAAGGCATCGTCTCTGGAAGGGGTAGGGCTTCTAGGGAGCAAAAAGACGAGAGGAGCCGGCAGCAGCAGCAGCAGCAGCATCGTTAGCCGGGGCAACAACTGCAAGTTCAATGGCAAAAGCAACTACAACAGCAAATGCTCTGCAACCATATCTACCACGCCCCTACGTCCCCAAACCCTAGACATACGCTAAGACCCTAAACCACAAACACTCAACCCTAAACACCCATACCCTAAACCCCTTAACCCTAAACCTCTATAGATCCCTCCGAGGAGCTCTTTCAGAAGCCTGAAAGGTAAACCCCTAAACCCCTAAACCCCCAAACCCCTTTAAAAGCCCTAAACTCCATGCATGCCGCCACATGGAGCCCCTGGGCACCACGCCGGCACTGGGCTGGAAGACCGCTTGGTCATTGTGAGGGCTGCCCGCACAAACAACCTTAGGGTTTAGGGTTTAAGGTTTGGGGTTTTGGGTTTAGGGCTCTACGGTTTAGGGTTTAGGGCTGAGGGCTTAGGGTCATTGTGAGGGCTGCCCGCACAAACAACCTGTGCGCGCCAAGGCCGCCATTCCGGACCCGAAATACCCCACAACCTGGACCCTACCTGAACCTACCAAAAAACCTACGTTTGTTTGCAGGTTCTTATCATTCATCAGAATATGGAAAGTGTAAGGACCCTATAACAAAGTGGTTTCTGGCGGTTTCAGGTAAACCTTGCACCTGAAACCCGGGAGAAAAAACACTAAGACACGAAGATCCCAAAAACTTCGACCCAAAACCCCGACCCGCACTTTTTGGAGTCTAAGGCTTAAGGGTTCTTGACTTAAAGTTTAGGGTGGAGGGTCAATACCCCAACGATGAGATGAGTATTTTCAGGAAGGCCCAAAATACGGGACCCGGAAGCTTTGGGAAAACCACTAATGAGGTTGCGGAGTAGTCAGTGTAGCGGTGCCGGGCCCGTTTGGGTTGAGGTCTTATATGGCTTCAAAGGATTTTGTAGGGCTTCTTTAGGGTTTAGGGTTTAGGGTTTAGGGTTTAGGGTTTAGGGGCTGTTTTAAGGTTTTGCGACGTGGAGCCTCAGGGCAACCCAATCGTTCCGGATGTGTGAGTCATCACCAAGTGCGTTCCAAAAGTCCAAACATGCCCTCATGGCCCAAAGTGTCCTATGCAAGACTGGAAATGAGTTAATATTAAAACCACTGACGTAGAATAGGGTTTCGGGGTCACGTCGTTCGCTAACCATAGGGGACTATAAGGGGTATATCACTGGATATTCACTTATGAGTGGTGCATTTAAGGATGTGAGATTTAGAGCTCTAGAGAATGGTGACTGGCGGCTGCGGCTTCTGTGGCTTTGATTCTGGGGGTCAGTAACGTAGCGAGTGCGTTTTGCGTCTAGGGTTCAGTAGCATTGCGAGTGAGAGAAAGTCGTGCGACAAGCTCTGACGGCGTTTTCGCCCTTTAACCTCGACGTCCTGAAGACATCATGTCTAGCTAGGGTTTATACAAAGAATCCTAGCATTAGCGCTGTTCAGGAAAGGAGTGTTATTCATCAGGGGGTTACAGCAAAGCCCATGCAATCGCTGCAAATAAAGGCTCAGAGCCATGCACACACGGATTTCTGGAACCCCAGACGCTGAACCTTAAACCGTAAACTCTGAACCGATGCCCTAAACTCCTTGAGTTCAGGGCTTAGGGTTAAACTGGCCCTGAACCCGCAACTGTGAACCTTGGCTCTTTGCTCTTAGCTCTTCGATCTATGCACGGAACTCCGAAGCGCGAATGAACACCCAAGCCCCCAAACAAACGAAAAAGGGGTCGGAATGGCATAGCATTATCACGTACAGCCCCCTCATAACTACTGCAACATATACCACCCAAAATCTGTTAAAACTGTTAAGGCCCCTTTACCAGTCGGAACCAAGGAACAGCCGGGAACAACAGCAGCTGCCCCGCCGTCGGGCACCGCATCAGGCGCAGCTACGAACCCGAGGCCGGATCAAAAGAACAAGGGCACAGGGACATCACACCATGGGCCATATGGAGGGGACCTTAGGGGTTCCTTTAAAAGGATCTATAAGGGTACCATAAGGGGTTCTATAAAGGGTTTAAGGTTTCGAGTTTCCGAAAATTGGGGGTACCTTGTTTTGGGGTCCTTATAATGGGGATCCTACTATTTAGGGTACTATCTTAGGGTCCCCTACTCTTGGAAACTCCCATATCATTGCGGCCTTAATTATTGGTTTAAAGGACTTTGGGTTAAGAAATATAGTATGCTGATTATAATGAGGAGCCCCAAAGAACCGTGTTCATACTTGAGGTTCCTATATAGTTTGACAGAGGGTTGTGTGTCTGGGGTTGCCAGGCTTGGAGGCTGTAGGGCTGAACCATGCCATTGGGCCACCCAGGTGGCACAGCAGAATTCCCTCGAGTCTCTAAAGAACAACACACCCTACAGTAGGGATGAGCCAGGTCAGGGCTTTAGGGTTCTTAACTTAGTCTCGGGCTTCCGGTTTTGGCGACATCGCGTTGGACTCTGAACCCTGAACCAGAAAACCTGGACACTAACCCCTGGAACCTCAAAGCCCGAAACCCCGAAACCTTCAAGCCCCAAGGAAAATACAACTTTAAACCCTAAACCCTACACCCTAAACCCTAAACCCTAAATACAGGCTCTGCAAAAGCCAGCGGCTGACACGCAGACCTTCGATCGAGAGTACCCGAACATGGGGGGTATTACGGTTGATAATATAAATCCTGATTTACCCATAATAAGGAATATACCAGCATTCCCGTATATTCCTTATTATGGGTAATGCAGGATTTATATCATCAACCGTAGCAGTTAGAACGGGGATTTGGGTCCGTGTGTTACAGGGTTCCTTCAACGAGCTCTGTAAGGGTACTACTACGGGTCACGGTAAGGGCTTCTAGACCGGCTTTATTTTATAGTACAAGTGGGCCGCCTTTCCAAACTGGAACGGAGCTTGGTGTATCTTAGACTACAACTATCAATAACAAGGAACCCGACTGAATCGTAGTACAAATTTATCTTGATCCCTGTATTGCTCTCGCCTCAGCGTGACTCCAACCTCCTTAATTACCCAATACCCCAGACCCCATACCCTAAACCCGAAATTTCAAATCCCTGAGCCGCACATGACAAGAAGACATCAGGGCTCTGGACTGGACGTCAACTGGGTTCAGGCTTGGGGCTTCATGGCTTAAGGGCCAATGCGAGGCACAGAACGATTGCCACAGACTCAGACCGCGAAAGAGGCAAGCCGAATCCAACCCTCAAACCGGGCAGTATGCACTTTAGGGTTTAGGGTTTAAGGGTTTTAAGGGTTCAAGGGTTTAGGGGTTTAAGAGGTTTTACGGGTTTAAGGGTTTAAGGGTTCAGGTTTATATAGGGGTTTAGGGGTTTAGGGTTGAGGGTTTACCTCACACATAAAAGCCGTGATCTGTCGTGCAAGGGAGGGTCTGTACTCTTTCTCGCCTGAGGCCCCCAAGAGAAATGCTAGCTTTTACTTCGCCTTGCAGTAAAATCCCTTAATTAAGGAATATACCAAAAATAAAAATAGGATCTCCAATCTGATTTAAGCTATATTCCTTAATTAAGGGATTTTGGAAGTTCTGGGCACATACCAATGCGCATTCCACGAGAAGTTTCTAGAACCGATAGGTATCTATTGCGAGAAGCTAGTGCGACTCCACCCCAACCCCGCAACTTTGCTCCCCTGACCCCAAACTACGCCCCAAACCTAAACCCGAAACCCTAAGCCCGGAGACCTAAAACCCGAAACCATAGGTCCAGACCCTTGCAGGCTAGCTTAGAGTGCATCCTGACATGTTGCCGTTAACCCCAAGCCAACTACAGCTAGAACACCTGAACTGCCAGGGTGTATTGCAGGAACCTGTTCTACGAAACTTTGATTCGGAACCTGGGTGCACCGCAATTACCTGCTATAGGAACCCTGGTTTCTAAATACTCAGAACCCTGCTTGGAGAGGCAGGGGACTTAGTAAGTAGGTGACAAGTAGAGTTTAAGTACCGTAAATGGAGCTATCACAATTATGACCCTACTTATAACCTACTTACTAAGGCACCTGCCCCTCCAAGTAACCCTCAGATCCAGAAGCCCGAAAAACCTCCAGACCTTCAACGAAGCCCTCAGCCCTCAAGCCGCGAAACCCAGATCCCTGTACTATTGTGGCCTTAGATTAATAGGGTAGTGGGTATACTGTAGTATGGCTATAATTTACAAGGAAACCTAAAGTCCCTAAAGACAAATATTTGTCACTAATCAGACCTCTATATTAACACAGATGCCTCTGCAGATACAGTGGGTGCAGCTCATTCATGTCTGCCCCGGGGTCAGCACAGAGTACCTCTCGCGGGGTTTTGGGTTTTGGGGTGGTACGTAACTTTAACGGCTTAGGAGAGACACTCCACTCCCCTTCACAGGCAATCATGTGCACTTCCGGGGTTACTTGGAGGGTCAGGGCACTTAGTAAGTAGGTTATAAGTAGGGTTATAATTGGGGTAGCTCCATCTAGGGTACTTATAACTCTACTTATAACCTACACACTAAGTCCCAGGATCCTCTAAGTAGGGTTTAGGTTATTCTCAGCCCCAGCAGGCCCTAGCGCACAGTGCTTACAATTTCTAGCCACTGCGCGGTGGGGGGGTTAAAAAGGGGCCCGGGCCCAATGACTGCTACTGCTTCTTCTTCTTCTTGTGCTACTACTGCGCGACGACTACGACTCCGACTACGACTACGAATAATACCAATACTAATGACAACAAGAAGAACGGTTGCAAAAATGATAAGTAAGAAGAAGAAGAAGCGGTACTACAAAAATGAGACAACAAAGCTGCAACGGCAAAAAAAAACATAGTACTAATAACTGCTAGAACAAGTTCAATCACGCTTCTCTTCCTCCTAAGCCCTAAACCCTGAACCCTAAAACCTAAAGCCCAAACTCTAAAACCTGGAAAAGACTTCCACGCACCTCCAGGAGGGCTTCTTCGTACTCACGAAGGACGACCTGAAAAGCAGCGGGTAGGCTTTCGGGGTTCCTTCAAGTGTTCCTTTGAAGGGTCCACTGAAGGCTTCGGGGTTTTTGGGCTTCGAGTTGGGGGTGGAGTCGTGACGAGTTTAGACATGAGCTCTGGTGCCTTTGGAAATGTTCAACAGGACACTGAAAGCCAAAAAAGCCTTACAGGCTCATTAAAGAGTTTAGGGTTTAGGGTTTAGGGTTTAAGGTTTAAGGTTTAGGGTTGAGGCGTTTGGGAACCCAAGGTGTTTTATCAGAGTTACGTAAGATTTCAAGGTAGGTCGATGTTCGGCTCATTGGGCTTGGGATCTTGGGCAAGGGCTCAAGGGCTTTGGGGTTTAGGGTTCAGAGCTTAAAGGCTTTGGGTTTAAGGTTGAGGGCTTCGAGCGCATTTTTTATGGGAGTTTCTGAGACTAGGGGACCCTAGCACCCTAAATAGTCGGATCCTTATTATGAGGACCCCCAAATAAGCTACACCTAATTCTCGGAAACTCCCTTATGGACTCTGCTCAGCATTTCCGGCTACCTGAGTACCTGAATAAGGTTTAGGGCTTGGGGTTTAGGTTTGGCTGCCTGAATAGCAATAGAAAATACACACAAAAAACATGAGTTTGGAGATCCAAAAAAATAAGGCATAACCGGAAACAACAACACACGAAAAGAGTCTCCAAGAGCCGTACATAGCCTGCGGGCGTCTATACAATGAGGATCCTACCCCTAAACCCTAAACCCTAAACCCTGGAACAGGGCAGATCACAACTCGACGGGACTCTACGGAGATACTAGACATGCTAGCAACATTGAGAGGGATTGAGAGTCGGCACTAGAGAGGTTGCTCATGACAGGACTCCTAAAGCTTTAAAAGCTTTAGGAGTCTTGGATTTAAGGTTATGCTTTAAAAGCGTAAGATGAAAGCATTCGGATTCTCCTAACCTGCTGTTCAGCGGCCGTACGTTTCGACCTCACTCTTGATGTCTTCCCAGCTGGATTCGGCGTTGCTCAAGAAAAGTCGCGTATAGCTCTCGGAGGCGGTCTGCAAGGAATTGGCTTGGCGGTGCTGGCGGATTTGCTCCACGGTGCGGTGCAAGTTTTCCCACTGTGCATCCGAGGGGTCGTCTGTGACATTGGACCAGCGCGGGGCACAGCTCCGACACAGCTTCCGCATTCAGCGCTGCTCAGTACCGGCTGTAGTCTCACAATCTGCACAGGCATGCAAACACCTGGAAAACCCTCCAAGAACACCAAGATGAATCCCGTAGAATCGCAAACTAACACAAAACCCTGAACCCAAAGGCCTCAACCATGGGCTTTCCTAAACCCGATTGGACCTGGCAAGCAAGGTTACAAGTAAGTTTAGAACTGGGATAAACCTACTCAGGGCACTTACAACCCCATTATAAGACTACTTACTAAATCCCTTGAGAAAATGGGAGTTTCCGAAAAGGAGGGGTACCTTTTTGGGGGTCCTTACAATGAGGATCCTACTATTTAGGGTATTATTTTGGGGTCCCCTATTTTCGGAAACTCCCAAATAAACCTTAACCCAGACCTAAGAGTAACCTAGGAATAAAAAGGGTGCCCTTTTTGGTTTCAAGGGGATTATAATGGAACCCGAGCCTTAAAAAAGGGAATAAGGGCCTACTCCGGGTCCTAGTAACCCTAGAAACCCCAGACTGGACTTTTATACCCTAAACCCTAAAGGGAACTCCAGAAAGTTGGAATATGGGGCTCTGTAGGGTTCCTTAAAGGGATCTATGGGGTTTAGGGTTTAGGGTTTAGAGGGAACTCCAGAAAGTTGGAATATGGATTAATGGTAGGATCCCCTATAATTTACCTTAAAGGGGTTACGATAATGATATTCCAACTTTCTGGCTTCTACTGAAAACGGAAACCCTACTTACTGAGTCCCAT